GTTCTTGGAGTCACAGTTTCAATAGGAGTCTCCCAATACTCCACCTGTCTGACTGGGTGGAACTAACAGCTCCCTGTGGGTCAGACCCAAACCCATCTCCCACCACACCCTTCCTGCACAGTGGTTTCTCTTACCTTCCCCATCTCCGTAAATGGTACCACCATCCACCCAGTTGCTCAAACTAAAAACCCAGGAGTTACCTTGATGGCTGGTGTCTCAACAGTCCCCACACTTGGAAGTCCTGTTGAGTCTTCATCTAATACGTACTCACATCTGGCTACTTCTTTCATCTCCGAAGCTCTCACCTTATCTAGGCCCCCATCACATTTCCCCTGGGCTCTGGGAAGAGATTCCGAATTAGTTTCTCTGCTTCCTATCTTGATTTCTGGATAAGCCACTATGGAAAGTGGCTTATCCAGAGATCAGGATAGTAGCTTATCCAGAAATCAAGATAGGAAGCAGAGAAACTAATTAGGAATCTCTTTCCATAGTGGCTTATTGCTTCAGGACATTCTTTTAAAATCATGAAATCAGACCATTTACTCTCCTGCTTAAAAAATCCTTAAGTAGTCTCTCAGTGCATTTAGAATACATTCCAAATCTTGGCTGCAGGCCATGATGCCATGTGATCTGACCTCATCTCCTCTGTGCCACCTCTTGTTCGCAATGCTCTGGCCTTCTTAAGATATCTCTCACACAGGTGTTCCTGCTTTAGGGTCTTTGCACTTGAAGTAACTTCTGCCTGAAATATTTTTTTCTCAGATTTTTAAGTGGCTGTTGCCCTTATACCATTGACATTTTTTTTTTTGCAAGATAAAAAATAACCAAATTTAATACATGCATATGTATTCGAACCCCACATACATGGGAGAGTCAGAGACCCCACATACAGGAGAGTTCCAGGGATAGAAACGGAACATGGGGCCCTGGCCGGCGTGCTCAGTGGTTAGATCATCAACCCATGCACCGAAGGGCTGCAGGTTCCCTGTCAAGGGCACATACCTGGGCTGCAGATTCAATCCCCGGTCAGGGTGCAGCCAGGGCACATAGTGGAGGCAACCAATCCTGGGGGAGAAGTAATAGCTTCCTGTGGGCCAGAAACATGTCTTTCAAACTGATATTTCTCTTTCTCCCTCTTTCTCTCTTTCTCTCCCTCCCTCCCATCCACTCTCTCTAAAAATCAGTGGGGAAAAAATATGCTCAGAGAGGCTTTTCTCATCACTCTATTGAAAGTTGCTCTGTGACCCCATCTCCATCATACTTATAACATTGTCACTGTCTATCCAAGCCTATTTACTTACATATTTACACTTTTCATTGGCAGGGTCTCAACTAAAAAGTAACCACAATGAAAACAAAGATTCTATCTGTCCTGTTTATGTTGTGTCCCTAGTACCTCTGTACAGAGTAGATGCTTAGTAACTAAATTTTGAGTTAATTAATTTCTTTATAGCTCCGTCTTATTCTAGGGGAGTTTGGAGCTCATAGGAGAACATAAAGAATTTGAAGTGTTATGTCAATATGAAGGAGTATAATTATGTTGTAAGCCCTTCCTCTCAGAGTTTCTGCACTGTTCTTTCTCGCGCTCTCTCTCTCTCTCTCTCTCTTCTTTTTCTCTTCCTCTCCTCTCTCCACTCTCTCTCAATTGGGTTCTATTTTTACTTAGTAGTGAGAGCCACTTCCAAGCCATCTTTGAAAGCTATTTTGATAAAGCACACCACATGATATATTTAATGGAAAAAGAGCGAGGGCTATAACAATGAAACTCAAGACTTGAATTGTCTACCCCCCTTCCCCCCAATCAGGAACCAATGGGGCAAGGAGGTGAGGGGTGTCCCTTCCTAGACTATAAAGCAAAAAGAGAAGCCAGGGGCACCCTGCACCTCACCTGTGCCTCTGGATAAACACGGGGACCCTTTATAGTGGTTGCTCTTTTTGTCACTGGTACCTGGATTCACCTATGGCTGGTCAGAAGGTATTGGGGTTAGTACTTCTATGCAGGGTCCATCCTGCCAAGGTCACTGGGAAGTGCCTTGAGGGGGGTCGCTCTTAGGACACTCCTGCTGGCCTGTCTTCTGCAGACAACAGCAACAGGAAGCAAATTTCTCCAGCTGCCACCGTCAAGGGAGGGCATAGGGGTGTCTGGAATACCTAGGGGCTCCGGGTTTAAACAGCTTTCCAGTTGTCTGGTGCGCTCGGGTGCCCCCCTGTGGTTCCAAGTGGAAAGTGTCCGGTAGGGGAAGGCATCAGGGTGTGTGTGTGTGTGTGTGTGTGTGTGTGTGTGTGTGTGTGAAATCTATTGTCTTGCTACTCACAGTGGGGTCTGGTCCACGCAGCAGCAGCAACAGCAGCAGGATCTCAGCTCTCACTCCACGCCTGTATCAGAACATGGACTTTGAACAAGATCTGCACATACGTTTGAAAGGCACTGCTCTGCCAGCCTCTGGGATGGCCCTGAAAGCCCTTCTCACTCTGTATGAGATGCTGATGTTGGCCACTGACCACACAGCTCTCAGGGAATATCTCTCCTTAGGAACCGGAGAGCCGTCCCCGGGACCTTTCCCCATACCAGCATCCTTGGTTCTCCTCTGGTCTCTGGGTCAACCTGTTGGAGCCCAGGCAGCAGGCCCGAGTGCCAGGAGCTTTATGCAACTCAGTCCTCTCCTCCAAGAGCTCACAACAGCCATCTTTTAAAGCTGTTTCATTTGTTTATTTTTAATTCTTACCTGAGGACATTTTTCCATTGATTTTTAGAGAGAGTGGAAAGGAGAGGGAGAGACAGAGAGAGAACTGTGGATGTGAGAGAGACACATCGATTGGTTGCTTCCTGCATGAGCCCTGAACTGGGGCTGGAATTCAAACCTGCAACCAGGATATGTGCCCTTTAAGGGAATCAAACCTGGGGCCTTTCAGTCCATGGGCTGACGCTCTATCCACTGGCTAGGGCTAACACTGTTTTGATAAAGCACACCGGGTGTGAGCAGAAAGCCTGGGGTGTGTCCTGCTCTGCTCTCCTTCCCAAGGCAATTGAACTGCAGGTGGTAGAGGAAATGGCCCAGTTACATAGCCCCCATTATGGGGTTACCACAAGAATGCTGGTCTAATTCTCCCATTTCACCCAACATTTCTGCATCAGTCCTCCATCAGATTGCTTCTTAAAGCCTTCTGGCTGTGAGTTTAACATTCTCTAGGAAGCTTAGATTTCCCTAAAGAATGTATCTACCTTCTTGCATGGAGTGTGGTGCCACTTAGGGGACAGCAGTTAAAGGACCGTTGGATGAAAGATCAGAAGCCCCAGAACTTCCTCCTCTGCCCCCACAGCCCCGTGACCTCAGGAGGAGAGTTGCAAGCAAGTGCGTTCCTATTATACTTGCCCTTCCTTCTTCCAGAGCTGGGCAGTGAGGCCGCTAACAGTGTGTGTCTCTGGGAATTTTGGCAACTGAGAAGTAAATTTTTTTTTTTAATGTAAGAGATTGTATTGTGACTTTAAATGACAGTCTCAAGATGAAACTCGAGTGTCTTTATAATGCTCACAGAGTCTGGAGAGATGGTAACGCCAGCAGTTTAGAGGTGCCCCAGGAGCGAGCGAGGTGTGTTTGGGGACGTGCATGTGTCTGGAACCTCAGGGAGGTGGTGTCAGTGTGTGTTGTCCTCGGGGCAGGAAGGAGTGCTCCCGTGGAGAGGAAGAGCCGTGTGTGAAAGTGATGAGCTGTCATGTGCCTGGTGGGCTGGTGGTGTGTGTGGCTTTGGCTCTTATGGAGCTGAGAGGCTTGGGTTCTGGTTTAGTGGCCTTGAACATGTTCCCTAGACCTTCCTGAACATGTCTCCTTATATTTATTTATTTGTTTGTTTATTTTTTTAAAATATATTTTTATTGATTTCAGGGAGGAAGGGAGAGGGAGGGAGGAAGGGAGAGAGAGAAAGAGAGAGAGAGGGAGAGAGAGAGAGAGAGAGAGAGAGAGAGAGAGAGAGAGAGAGAGAGAGAGAGAAATGGCAATGTGTTGTAGTGTACCCCCATCTTACAAAGGATGCCTCTAGAAGTCAAATTGTGGAGTCATCTATTAAAGGCTGGCAGCATATGAGGGGCTAAATCTCGCAGCCCCGAAACCGCTTGCCACATCTGGCTTATATCGGCAGAATATCATAAAGGAATCGATTATATCTTTGGGTCCAAAATGAGGAACCTGTTTGGCAAAGAGCATTTTTACAGAATTGAAATTGAGCAAGTTAGTTATCTAAAGTATCTACGAATCACTGAACCGACAGAAACACATTATCTGGGACCACCGGGGCAATTTGGGATAATTGTGCTGTCCAGATTCTGGGACCACTGAGTCAATAAGAATGCACTATCTGTAGCTATTGAGGCAATTTAGGGTGATTTGTGAACTGGTGAATATAATAGAATCAGGGGCATAAAATGGGAGGGGATTGATAATTCTCAGGGGGAGAGGAGTGTCTGAGTATGGGGTACGAGAAGAGGACAAAAATCATACACCTGGATGAGGACAGCGGGTGGGGGAAGGTAAGGACAGAGGGTGAGGTGGGGACTGGGTGGAGGGAAGCTATAGGGGGGAAAAAAGGAGAAACAATTGTAATAATCTGAACAATAAAGATTTATTAATTTTTTTAAAAAAAAGGATAATTTGTGCTCTTCTGATTCCAGGACCACTGAGTCAACCGAAATTCAATTATCTGTCCTGGGTCCCAGAAGGATGTGCTTCGATGACCAGTGAGATCACAATCAATGGGATATTCAAACCATCATCAATGGAGTATTGGGACAGCATACATAAGTTCAGAAAATCAAAATAACTTTTAAATAAGTACAGAACCCAAAACAGCAAGATTAAAATATTACCCACGTACGGTAATATTTTGGCAACTGTGAAGTAATTTTTTTTTTTTAAATGCGGAAGGGGTGCTACCATACTTCATCTGATGAGAGAGAACCGTTGATTGGCTGCCTCCTGCACACCCTCTGCTGGGGATCAAGCTCGAGACCCCAATTGAACCCTGGACTCTTCAGTCGGTGGGGCTGATGCTCTATCCACTGAGCCAACCCGGCCAGCGCTCTCATTTTTAAACTGGAAGTTGGGCTGGTTGATTTCTAGGTTCTCTTGCAGCCTGTCATGCAGACCAGCAGTCTGAGTGTGGGGCCTCTGCTGCTGGCTTTACTGTCAGAGCTGGTTCCCGGGGGTCAGCCACTCTCCTTTGGTGACTTCCCACTCCAGCTTCGGGACCCGAGTTGTGGCTCCCCGGAGAGCTGGAGTTGGCTGCGTGGAAATTATCTCTCACTGACTGAAAATGCAGGAAGCTTGAGCTTGAAACTCGCTCGTCAAAAAGAAAAAAACACACACAGAGCAAGAAACCACAGGGCTTATCAGCCTGTCGTCATCAGGCAGACTAGAATAGTGCAGAGAACTCTAGGCAGAGAGGAAATGAACTTGAGAGAAGGGGGAACACACAGGGCAGAGAGGAGAGAAAGAGGGCGGGAGGGGAAGGCGCAGGCTGCAGGGCAGGGCCCGCCATGGTGGGAGGATGGAAGACGTGGTGGTGAAGCAGGGCTTCCTGTACCTTCAGCAGCAGCAGACGTTTGGAAAGGTAGGAGGAGGCGGCGGGCTGGGCTGGGCAGAGGGGCTGGGGGTTGCCAGAAGTTCCTGGGGAGGAGAGGGGTGCGCCCAATGTCCCCAAACCCTTTCAGGTGTGTGTGTGGGGGAGGGGGGGACTGCACATCACCATGTTAGACCCAGAGCTTGGCTTGGGAGGGCTCCTTCCTCAGCAGCTGCTCGCCTCCCCAAGCAGGCCCCAAACGGTGCTCTTTGCTGATGCTGCTCCTGGGGGGAGGGGAGGGGTAAGGAAGACTCTAGCTCCCTCTCTTGCTCTGGTGGCTTCTCGCGGGGACACCTTGGGAGGGAATGGAAGAAACAGCAGAGGGGGCATTCAGGAGTGCAGTGGTGACTCCTTCTTTCCCTGCCCCATGGGGTAGGTTTGGCTGGTGCTAGGCTTGAGCAGAGCCCCAGGGTGTCCAACCACCTTCTCCTTCTTTGGCTTCCTTAAATGCAGAAGTCCTCTTCCCTCAGCTGATCCACACAGGGCACCCGTCTCCTCTCTCCTCTCCTCTCCTCTCCTCTCCTCTCCTCTCCTCTCCTCTCCTCTCCTCTCCTCTCCTCTCCTCTCCTCTCCTCTCCTCTTCTCTTCCCTCCTGCCTTCTCCTCTCTTCTCCCCTCATGCCCTCTCCTCTCTTCTCCCCTCCTCTCTTCTCTTCTCCTGTTCCCTCCCATCCCCTCCTCTCCCTTTCTGTCCATCCTGTCAAGAGATGAGGTGGGGAGATTCTGGAGGGTCACCTGAAGTTCCTGGAGAGAGACCTTCTACAGAGTGAGATGCTGGTCTGCAGCCTGGGCCCGGGCATCAGTGACTCAAGCTTTCCCTCCTCCATGTGGATATCCTGGGCTTGCCTGCCTGGCTGCCTCAAAGTCCACCTTCATGTGCTTTTTCTGCCTCCGGCTCTCTCTGCTGTCATCTGGGCGTCTTCTTGGCTGCTTGCGGCGGCTCTAAGTTCCAATGCTTCTCGATTCCTCCGGCGGCTTGCCTCCGGGGTCTCCTGGGATCTTTACCTCTCGCCCCAAGTTGCTGCCCCAGCCCCTTCCCATGGGCCCTCCACTCCCTTCGGTCACCATCTCTCCATCTCCTCTGGGCACCTCCCTGCCACGCACCCGGGTCAGAAATGGCGCAGGTTTGGGGCCATGCTGTACGGCCAGTCGGGCTGCGCCCTGGCCCGGCTGGAGCTGCAGGAGGGCCCGGAGAAGCCGCGTCGGGGAGAGGCCGCCCGCAGGGTGATCCGCCTCAGTGACTGCCTGCGGGTGACGGAGGCCGGCGGGGAGGCCAGCAGCCCCCGGGACACCAGCGCCTTCTTCCTGGAGACCCGGGAGCGCCTGTACCTGCTGGCGGCCCCCACTGCCGAGCGTGGCCCCTGGATGCAGGCCATCTGCCTGCTGGCCTTCCCGGTGAGCTGCCCAGGGGTGCAGGAGAGGCCCGGGGTGTGCGGGAGGTGTGAGAGCCAGGGCCAGGGTGTTGGAGGGCAGGTCTTTGGTGGGGCGACCCCCATCCAGAACGCAGGCAGGGCAGCAGGCTGAGTGTGCCCTGAAAGGAAGCTGGGGCTGGAGGTCGGGCTTGGGCCGGGGCTTGGTGACATGGTGAGGCTGGCCTGTCCCCAGGGCCAGCAGAAGGAGCTGCCGGGGCCGGAGGGCCAGGGCGGCGGACCCTGCATGGAGGAGAATGAGCTGTACAGCAGCACGACCACAGGTGAGGGGCTGCTGCTCGCTCGCCCAGGGCGGGGCGGGGCGGGGCTGGAGGAGGTGTGGGCCAGCAGGCGCGTCTTGTCTTCCTGCTTGTGGTTGTCCCCAGCGTGGCCAGTCCCCTGTCAGCCTCTCCGCATCGCTTCCGGGCCTGGCCAAGGTGGGGAGCCTGGCTGCCTGGACTGCCAGACCTTCCCCCGCCCCCCCCCCCACCCTGTCCACTCCCTCCCACCCAGGCCCTGCTGGTGGAGAGGGCAGGGCTGGGGGGACCACGGAAGGTGCTGCTGCTCTCGAACCCTCTGTGGTTAGGAGCTGGGCAGCTTCTGGAAAATAAAAGAGGCTTTCTCTCTGTGGCTGGAAGGGGTCCTGTGGGAGGTTTCTGCTGACAAGGCCCCCCTCCCGCCTCTTGCCATCAGTCTGGTCCTCTGGGCGGGAGGGTGCGTGTGTGTGGGTGTGGGCAGGAGGGGCAGGATACGGGGCAACCAGCCTCCACCTCGCAGAGGGCACGGTGGGTGGCATGGGCAGTAGGTGAGGGGGCTGAGGGGGGGGGAGGGCCAGGTGCACCTGCAGCTGAGGCAGTAGGGATTGGGGTGGGGTGGGGTGGGGAGATGAGACAGAAAAGATGAGGCTGTGGCTCTGGCAACAGGTCGGAAGGATGTGGGCAGGAGGTTGGGGTGCATGTGGCTGGGGCACGGTGCCTGTTGGGGTCGGGGGGCGGTACGTGGCATTTGGGGGAGTGTGACCTGGCGAGGAGCAGGTCATGGGAAGGGAACGCCACTCCTGTATGACCGCTGGCTGCCCCCTGAGAGGGTCCCCCTTAACAGCCTTCTCTTCCCTCCTCCCCAGGGGCCCCCTGCAAGGAGTTTGCTGTGACCGTGAGGCCCACGGAGGCCAGCGAGAGGTGCCGGCTCCGGGGGGCCTACACCCTCCGGATAGGAAAGGGGGCCCTGGAGCTGTGGGGGGGCCCTGAGCCGCGGGCCCTTGTGTACGACTGGCCCTACCGGTTTCTGCGGCGCTTTGGGCGCGACAAGGTGAAGGGGGGGCTCGTTGGGGGGTGGGGGTGGGGGAGGGGTGGATCTGCAGCAGGTGTGGAGGGGGAGGGTAGGGTGGGGGAGGTTGTCAGGGAGCAGAAAGGGCCCTGTGAGGACGCATGGGAGGAGGAAGGAAAGGGGAGAAAGGCCCGAAGGAGGAGATGGGAAGGACCAGAGGAGGCGGAGGGAAGCAGAAGAGGCAGAGATGGGAGCCGGGGAGAGAGAAGGTGGAGTGGCGGAGCCTGGAAGGAGGCCGGGAGAGGGGAGCAGTCCGAGGGGCAGGCGTTACTGAGGGTGAAGGCTGTGCCCAGCTCCACACTTGGATGGAGGAAGGAGGATGCAGGGAGAGAAGGAGAAACATGGAGGAAGGGAGCAGGAGGCTTGGCCGGTCCCCGTGGGGCAGGCTGGACCTGATGGGTTTGAGTCTCAGAGCTCGGAGCTCCGTCCAGGGGAAGCAGCCCTGACCCGTGGCCTCGCCCAGTGGCCGGCAAACCGCGGCTCTCGAGCCACATGCGGCTCTTTGGCCCCTTGAGGGTGGCTCTTCCACAAAATACCACCTGCGGGCACGCATGTCCAGTGCGATTGGAACTTCGTGGCCCACGCGCAGACATCGGTTTTCGACTCTCAAAAGAAATTTCAACCGTTGTGCTGTCGATATTTGGCTCCGTGGACTAATGAGTTTGCTGACCACTGGCCTAGCCAATCGACTCCCCTCCCCACTCTCCCCTCTCCCCCAGGTAACCTTTTCCTTCGAGGCTGGGCGGCGCTGCGTCTCTGGAGAGGGCAACTTTGAGTTCGAATCCCGGCAGGGCAATGAGATCTTTTTGGCCCTGGAAGAGGCCATCATCGCCCAGAAGAATGTGCCTCCCGCTGGGCCGCCAACCCAGCCAGCCCCAGCCCCAGCCCCAGTCACAGGCCTCGGAGCGCTGCCCAGGCCCGAGAGCCCGTACTCCCGGCCCCACGACTCCCTGCCGCCACCTTCACCCAGCACCCCGGGGCCCACCGCCCGGCCCCGCCCGGAGGGGGAGTACGCAGTGCCCTTCGATGCCGTGGCCCGGAACCTGGGGAAGACCCTGCGGGGCATCCTGGTGGTCCCGCCCCCGCCCCGGGGGGACCCTCTGTACGACAGCATCGAGGAGCCCCGGCCCCCACGGCCGTCACCGTCACGATCCGACCACATATACGATGAGCCCGAGGGGGTGGCCGTCCTGTCCCTGTACGACAGCCCGCAGGAGCCCCAGGGTGAGGCCTGGAGGAGGCAGGCCACAGCCGACGGAGCCCCCGGCGGCCCCCAGCACGGCTACCCCGGGGGGCAGGACTTCCCTGCTTCTGGCCTGCCGCTGGAGACCGAGTATGACAACGTCATTCTGAAGAAAGGCCCCAAGTGACGGTGGGCAGAGAGAGTCTGGAGCCCACGGAACGCCAGCTCTGAGGTGGGCGACCACCGGGGAAGGGGGTGGGCTGGAGAGAAGGAGTGGGAGGGGGAAGGCAGGCCTCCCTTCCAGCTGCTGCTGCTGCTCACTCCTCCTGCCCACCTCGTCCCGGGAGCCTCCCCAGGACTCATCCCTCCCTGGGTCTGCTGGGACTGCTGGGACTGCTGGGTCTGCTGGGTCTGCTGGGTCTGCTGCATGAGTCATGATCCAGAAGCAGGAAGAATGCCCTGAAGAGACCCACCCTCCTCCTACCCTTTCCCACTTCCCCTTGTTCTTTCCTGGGTCTAAGGGGGTCAACCTCAGGCATTTAGGACAGAAGACAAAAGCATGTCAGCAAGTCGCTCCATTCCTGGGTTTGCACAGGCCTCCGGGCTCGAAGGGGGCGCTGCAGGCGTTGGACTTCTCTGTGGCATTAAACATTTCCAAGGTGTTTTTGTGTGGCGAGTGCTGTGGGCCGGGGACCAGACAGCCACAGCCTGGGGTGGGGGTTGGGGGGATGTGAGGGCAGGGAGGGGAAGGAGCCCTACTATTGGTGATTCATACCCCTTTCCCAGCGGCGGTGTCCTCTCTGGTCCCCAGCATCTGAGTCGGGATCTGCAGAAGTCAGGCCACCCCAGGGGAAGATGTCCAAGCATCCCCAACCCCTTGCTGGTGTGGGGCCAACATCAGGAAAAGTGGAGAGTGGGTGTCTGTGTGAAGAGCCAGGCTAGGGGACAGGAACGGGTAGGCAGATTTGAGCGTCTCCTGGATGAGTCTTGCTCTCTCTGTACCAGGAGAAGGTTCTACCACCCACATGGGCTTCCTTCACAGGAAGTGTCATTCACCACAGGCCTGTGTCCCACTCGCCCACACATCGGGGCCCGGGCACTCTCTTCACCAAAACCTGCTTTCCTGGCAGTTCTGCTGCCGGCCAACCGGCCAGCAGCACGGAGCACCGTTTGTAGGCTCCGGACTGCCCTGGTCTTGAGGGGCTGACGGGCCAGAGGGGGTGGCGACAAGGACACAGGTGTCTGTCATGAGAGGAGGGCTTATGGACCGGTGGGTGACTCCGGGCCTTGGGGCCAGAGGAGAAACCTCTGGGCTCACTGGAGGACCAAGAAAGGCTTCCTGTGGAAGGTGGGTTTTGAGGTGGACCTTCAAGGTGGGAGGGACTTGATGAAGATTAAGGGCGTGAAGAAGAGAGCATCCTGGGTAGAAAAGCCGGCAAGAGTGAAGGTCGGGGAAGGTGCGGACAGACTCAGCAAAGCGCTCAACATTCCTGTGGAGGGAGCAGGCGGGCCTCCGGCTGGGAAGGGGGCCCTGGCCACGTGGTGGAGGAATTTGTAAGTGATTCGAGGGAGGGAGAAATGACAAGTCTTCTGAGTCGAGTCCCCTACGAGCTGCACACGGGAGCAAAAACCCCTTGGAAATGGACGGGGTGCAGGGTGGGCCAGGCTGAGCTGTAAGGGGAGCTCAGAAGAGACTGTGGATTCAAACAACGCTGCAGGGACCCGGCCTGGAGGTCTGGGAGTCTGTCGGATGCTGAACACGCAGAAATAGGGTGTCTAGAGAGATTCAGGTTTTGGAAAGGAGAGCTTGGTTTCTGACATGTTTCGGTTAAGCTGGCTCTGTTCTACCCACCATGAGGCGTGCTCGGAGCAGGTGGAAAGGGGCTCTCAGGTGAGAGGGAGAAGAGCTAGAAACCTAAGAATTGCCGGCAGCCTCCCAGGTGTGCTGGGATGTAAGCTGTCTCTCTCCATGCCTTTGCTGGCATGAGAGCAGGCTGGACACGGGAAGGCCCTGTGCAAAAGGGCTGTCCCTCCTGCCACCGCCTGGGCCTACCCCCAGGATACACTGCCCCTTGGGGTTTCAGTCGTCCCCCATTCCAGGCCAGGGGTGGCTAGGGTGTGTGTGTGTGGGGGGGTGTCTCTCGTTTCGTATTGGTCAGTAGCACTTGAGGTGGACGTTCCAGCTCATCCCAGCAGGGGGCAGTGTTAGCCTGTGGAAAAGGCTGCTGGGGTCCTATCTGCTGTCAGGTCTTCTGGCTGGACCCTGAAGGAGGTTACTTAAAATAAAATAAAGGTTATTTATTTATTTATTTATTTATTTATTTATTTAATGACCTTAGAGAATGGAGGAGGACTGCCCTGGTCTTGAGAGGCTTATGGGCCAGAGGGTCCTCAGAATCCTACTTGGAGGCCTGTGGGCTCTGCCTCCCAGAAGTGTGAGACCCTAAGCTGAAATTTGCCCTTCTCCCCTCTCCTCCACCCCAAGATCCCCGGGGGCGTTCTGAATTCTTTGTTCAGAGGCTGGCTTTGCCTGAAAGGGGAAGTGGTAGACGGGCGGGCGCTGCAGGGAAAGGTGGGCGAGGGCTGCGAAGACGGGAAGTGGAGCGTTTGGGGAACTTGGGAAGGGGAATGAGCACCCTGGAGACAGTTCATCAAAGACGCTGAGCACACTGCCAGGGGCCCTCTCCGAAGGCATGACAGGGTGGGTGGGTCATCCTGCAGAAAATTGTGTCAGCACCAGCCCAGCCACCCTTAACCGCACCATCGCTTGTGACATGCACATCACTTCTCAATTCACTTCTCCTAGGAGCCCCACCCAGAGCTGAGGAGCCCGGCGCTGGGGGTAGGGGGTGGGTGGGGGTGGGTGGGGATAGGGAAGACCAGTCCCCACCTCGAGGAGCCCACATGCAGAGCTGGTCTGCAGAGCTGTTTGCTGGCTGGATTCTTAAAGGAGTGAGCCTTCGGGATCCATCTCCTCAAACAAGCCCAGAGGAAAAGCCCTCCTTGCCTGTCGAGGGGCAAATTCATAAGTAAGGAGACAGTTGGTTTCAAAGGAAATGGGACAAAGTAAGACCAAGGACTGCGACAGGGTCTCAGTTCCAGAATCTTTCTGCTACCCAGCTGCTGTCGATACTAGGAGAAGCATTGCTGTGGCCAGGATACCGTTTTTATTTGCTAATTATGATGCAGAGGTTGCATCAGGGCAGGTAAGACTTGCCCGGTGACTGAGCCCATGTTAGAACTATGTGCCCAGGTTCATGTAATTGCAGTTGTTCATGTAACTGCACACGTGAGCTTACGTTACCATTCTTCTGTTTTTTTTTCTTCTCTCTCTTTGGCCTCCTCTTGTGTTTTCTTTTTCCAGAGCATGGAAATGGTGTGTGTGTGTGTGTGTGTGTGTGTGTGTGTGTTGGCCTGTGGTTCACCCCTAAGTCTGCTCCCAGGCCAGGCCTTCCGGGAGTTCCCACCTTGAAGCTTCAGGGTAGACCGGGGCCCAGATTGCCTGGGCCTCTCTGCTCCCTCAGACTCCTCCCTGATGGCTGCACTCAAGCTGTTGCTGCCACCACCTTTCAGCTGTGATGCTAACCAGCCGCCTGCCTCCTGCCTCGTGGGCGCTGATTCAATTAGCCAAGGTGCCCACCTCCTGCGTGGCCATTTATAAAATCAACCGGGGCAGCTGGAGAGCTCAGGGAGGGCAGGGCTGGGAAGCAGGGGGAGGGCAGCGAGCTGGGGAGCGGGTGGTAGAAGAAAGGGGGCCTGGTGGGGGAACCTGATTCGATTAGCTATCAGGCTGGCTTCCCTGAGCAGGTGGCTGTACATCACCGCCCTGCTCCAACCCTCAGCTCCTGGGCCAGATGCAGGCCAGCACAGAGAGGGGTCCATCCATCTCCAGGCTCCTGCTTGCTTCCCTCCCACTCTGCAGCCCTAGGTTCCTGGGCCAGAGGTGGCTGGTGTGTTGGGAGAAGGAGTGGAGAGGGAAGCAGGGGTTTCGAGGGATTTGTGGGGGAGCTGCATTCCCAGGGATGGGTTAAGTAGTTCTGGGACCTGCGCCCCAGGGCAGGGTCAGCCTTGGGCGTTCAGGAATCTGATCAGAGAGGGCTGACAGTGTGTGTGTGTGTGTGTGTGTGTGTGTGTGGACTGAAGGAAGGCCTGGGGCAACAGCGTTTGGGAAAACATTGTCCTTGAGTTCCTACAGCATTTTTTTCCAGTCCAGACTGCTCAGGGGGTCTCACTACCTGTGTCCAGGCTCTGGCCCTGCTGCTCCTTAGCTGTGTCTCCACGCGTCTGTTTCCACATCTGTAAGCGGGAGATAATGGTATGTTTTTCAGAGGCTTGCTGTGAAGGCAGTGAGTGAATACAAGCCCATCGCCTAGAGCGGTGCCTGGCCACAGAGCTGCAGCGCTGTTGCCGAAACCGCTTTGGCTCAGTGGATAGAGCATCGGCCTGCGGACTGAAAGGTCCCAGGTTCAATTCTGGTCAAGGGCATGTACCTTGGTTGCGGGGACATCCCCAGTGGGAGGGTGTGCAAGAGGCAACTGATTGATGATTCTCTCTTATTGATGTTTCTAACTCTCTAGTCCTCTCTCTTCCTCTCTGTAAAAAATCAATAAAATATATATATATATATTTTTTTAAAAAAAGAGCTGCAACGTTGCCCATCATCTCCCCTCCCCTCCTCTCCTCTCCCCCTTCACTCCTCTCCCCTCCTCTCTCTTCTCCTTCCCGCCCTGTGGCCCCACAAGGCCTGCGGGGCAAGATGTCCCTGTTTTTCAACAAGAAATGGAGACGTGGACAAGAGTGAAGTTGTGGGGTGCAGGAGGGGAGTGTGTGTGTGTGTGTGTGTGTGTGTGTGTGTCGGTTGGGGGGACTTGGGGAGGAGAGGTAGGATTTTGATGGGAAGAAAGAAAAGTGGGAAAGCATCTCAGGAGGGGCGAGAGGAGTAACATCAAAGGCCAGAATGGGTGGCTCCTGGCCGGGGCCTCTGCACACCTGGGCAGAGCGGGCTCGTCCCCCCGTATTGTGCCCAGAAACGGGAGAGCTTGGGAGGAAAGCCGCTTTCCAGACTGGAAGGCCTTTGGCTGGAAGCAGGCTGGAGAACCAAAGCCACAGGGCAGAGTTTCCCTTTCATCTGAGCTGCTGCCTCTGCTCATGGCCTGCAGCTGGCACTCCAGGGCACAGGGCAGGCTCCTTGCTGGGCAGAAGCTCCTGGTGGTCCAGAGGGCACAGCCCACCAACTGGTGAGGTCAATGCATGGCCTGGGGCCATTATTCTGCAGCTGGGAAGCCCACCTGTCTCCCCATGCCCCCCTAAACCTGGGGAGGAGGCTGGGGGGAGGAGGCTGGGAGGACGGGGCAGACAGAGCGGAGAGCACTGTGAAGGAGGTTTGCCCTCTCTCCCGCTAGACTGAAGACATCCTATGGCGGCGTTCATTCTTTACCTAATGTATCATTGTATCCCCAGCACCTAATGCAATGCCTGGCACCAGGTAGGTATAGATAACTCTTCCTTTTTAAAAAAATATGTTTTTATTGATTGTTTTAGAGAGAGAGGAAGGGAGAAGGGTAGAGAGATAGAAACACCCATGAGAGAGAAACAGCATCAATCACCTGCCTCCTGCATGCCCCCTACTGGAGGCTGATCCCACAACCTGCAACACGGGCAT